GAAGGGGCACAGATATGAGGTTGAGGGGGTTACGGCAGCTGGCGGGAGCAGGGGGGGTCCCTAGAGGAGGGGTGAGGTGGCGAGGGGCCAGGGTTCGGGGAGATGTCCCCAGCAGATAGGAGAAGGAGAAGGGTGAGGAAGGTGGCATGGGGATGGGAAGTGTAGGAGCGTGTGGGTCTGATAGTGGTGGCACGTGGGTCGACGGGGGAGTGGAGTAGCAGGAGGAGGTGGTGAGTGCCGTAGTGGGGAGAGGGGAGAAGTGAAGGGGCAATGTAGAGCTGTTTTGGGGGGGTAGGCGGGTAGAGGGAGGTGATTTTTGGGATGGTGGAGAGGAAAATGAGGAGGAGGAGTGCAGGAGGCATGTTGGGGTGGGTGGGGTGACAGTTGGGTCAGGGGAGGTGAAGGGATACAGGTCAGGGCAAGGTGGTGTGGGGAATCTGTATTACCGTGGGATAGTCATTTGAGTCCTTCTGTAGGGGTAGAGTGAGGGTGGAGGGCGGCAGCTGGTTGGCAGCAGTCTGTGGGTGCAGTAAGCTGGCGACCATGGGTGCTGTGGCATGTCTTCAGTGGGTACGGTGGTTCGGCTAGTGGAGGGTCGTAGGGTGCGATGGCTGGGGGCGATGGTAGGCACGGCGACTGGTGATGCTGGCCGCTCGGTGTCTGGGGTTGTTGAGGCCAGGCGTCGGGTGCTGAGGGCTCGGCGTCGTGAGGTGCTGAAGGTGTTGAAGGATCGTCATCAGGGTCGAGCGGGGCGTTGCGGTAGCGATCATTGGCCCTGCGTGGTTTGTGCTCAACCGTGATCTGTTTGCGGCCGGTAGGAGAGACCGCGGCTTCAAGGGTCGTGGTGGGCCATTAGTCGCCGGGGCATCGCCAGAGGGAATAGCGTGCCGGAAAGCAGGGTGCTGGGCGAGCGGTCCCTGGTGTGGTGGCTGGCTGGTAGTCCCAGGTGGGGTGGTGGGAAGGGGATCCCGGTGGGATGGTGGCCGTGCTATCCCTGGTGGGGTAGTAGCAATCCCTGGAGGGATAGTGGCTTAGGGTCCCTGGTGGTTTGGGGTTTCAGGTGGATGGTGGGATCCCTGAGTGAGTCCCTGGAGGCTGGCGGTGTGATGGTGGTTGGGCTCCTTGGTGGGTAGTGGGCGCCCCTGGTGAAGTACCTGGTGTCCTGGGGCGTCGGGGTGGAGGTGGATCTCTCCTGGGTTAGCAGGACCGTTGGTGGTGGTGGTAGCTTCCCGGAGGAGCGGAGGCGTCCCGCCGCGGCCGCAATTCCCACCGCGATTCCAGCCATGGCTGGCAGGAAACACCGCGGCTTCGGGTGCCGTGGTAGGCCTCAAGCTGCTGCGAACCGCCGGAGCTCCGCTGGAGGGACGGAGTGACTGTGGGTGTTGGTGGGGACCTCGGCAGCAGGCACAGGGGCCCGGATGGGCCCTGATGGCAGCGGTAGGGGCGCAGGGGTGTTTAAGCTGACCATCCAGTGGCTGCTCCAGGGCGATCTGGTACCCGGTGGTCGGGGATGGACCCAGAGTCGGTGAGGGGGTCCCTGGGGAGGCTGGCTGATCGGCGGGGACCGAGGAGCGGAGCGGCAGTAGTCCGGGCTGATGTCCGGCGATCCTGGTCGGCCGCGCCAAAAATCGAGGCCACGGCTTCAGGTGCCGGGTAGGCCGCAAGTCCCGGAGCTCCGGGAGAAAGGTCCAGTGGCCTTCCCTGGCTGGCGAACAGGGACCGGAGGGTCGTGGGGCCCCCGTCAGGGTCCGCTGCCGCCCAGATGGCAGCGGATTGGGGCCGGGGGAGCAGGAGCTCGCCGAGACACGTCCGTCTCGCCGGACGTCCACTTAGTTATTTATACACTATATTGCCAAATGTATTGGGACACCCCTCCAAATAATTGGATTCAGGAGTTCCAATCACCTCCATGGCCACAGGTGTATAAAATCAAGCACCTAGGCATTCAGACTGCTTCTACAAACATTTGTGAAAGAATGGGTCGCTCTCAGTGAATTCAAGCCTGTTACCGTGATAGGTTGCCACCTGTGTAATAAGTCAATCCATGAAATTTCCTTGCTACTAAATATTCCAGAGTCAACTGTTAGTGGTGTTATAAGAAAGTGGAAGCAACTGGGAACAACAGCAACGCAGCCAAGAAGTCCTAGGCCACGTAAAATGCCATAGCAGGGTCAGCAGCGCATGCTGAAGCACACAGTGCACAGATGTCGCCAACTGTCTGCAGAGTCAATAGCTAGAGACCTCCAAACTTCTCTGTCTGGCAATCCAATGGATGTGTCTGGGTTTGGCAGTTGCCATGAAAACGGTACTTGAATGACTGCATTGTACCAAGTGTAAAGTTTGGTGGAGGGGGTTTATGCTGTGGGGTTGTTTTTCAGAGGTTCGACTTGGCCCCTTAGTTCCAGTGAAGGGAAGGCTTACGGCGTCAGTATAGCAAGACATTTTGGACAATTTCATGCTCCCAACTTTCTGGGAAAGTTTCGGGATGGCCCCTCCCTGTTCCAACATGACTGTACACCAGTGCACAAAGCAAGGTCCATAAAGACATGGATGAGCGAGTTTTTAGGTGGAGGAACTTGACTGGCCTGCACAGAGTCCTGACCTCAACCCGATAGAACACCTTTAGGATAAATTAGAGCAGAGACTGTGAGCCAGGCCTTCTCATCTGACATCAGTGCCTGACCTCACAAATGCGCTACTGGAAGAATGGTCAAACATTCCCATAGACACTCCCAAACCTTGTGGACAGCCTTCCCAGAAGAGTTGAAGCTGTTATAGCTGCAAAGGGTGGGCCAACTCAATATTGAACCCTACGGACTAAGACTGGGATGCCATTAAAGCTCTTGTGAGTGTAAAAGCAGGTGTCCCAATACTTTTGGCAATATAGTGTATATTTGCATTGGTCTCTTTGATAATGGTTGTGTCCCTGCACTTAATAGCGATATTCATCATCTTTCGGTCATATTGAGTTTTTATCTTTGTTATATACTGTATATCTTAGATGTTATGTTTTACTATTAATAATATGTTAATTATTTCCATATCAATTTCCATAATTTTTAATGTCCTTGTACTATGACAAGAAAACCAATATAAAGAACAAATCCTTAAATATACAGGATATGCTACCTTGTCACATCTTTTTTTACAAGATGGGTGAGAGCTTTAGAAAGCAATACTGAAGTAATAATAATAAACCGAAACAATAACCTGTTTTAGCCATTGTGTAGCAAGAACATTTTAGAAGCTGAATTTGTAGTTTCTCATTTTTCTCAGTTGGAGATGCTGGAAAAATAAAATGATAACTTTTTGTTCCTCTTATTTACTAGTACTGAGTGTTTTTTTCTCCCATAGAGAGAAGATCTGCTTCAAGCCTTCCCTTGATGAGAACTCAAACTGACTGCAGTCTATAACAGCGGGGAAAAAACACCAACGCCTTTGAAAAGAAATCAATCAAGTGCTTTGAAAAATAAAGGGAGACACACTTATGCCACCTCAAAACAGCATGAGATTTAATGAAACATATGGTGTGCAGAGATGTGAGTGTCCTTTAATACACATAACTGGTTTTCAGATTTGATCCTGACCCCAACAAGCCACCACTATGCAGCATTGTGATTTCATATACCCGTTTTAAAGTGTACTTCCACTTTTACAGTCAAATTTGAGAAACCCCCACCATATTTATGTTATGTGTTTCCATTCATACTTCACACCTAAAAATTATTTAAAAATATTTTTTACCTTTCTATTTGTGTTTTTTGTAACAGGTTTACACATAGGACTCTACAGGCTGCTTGATTTGTTCAAAATAGCTTGAAATTTGCAATTAGGGGACAGAGTTGTTTAAATGCATTAACAGACAATGTACCACTCAAGCCTTCAGATCTTTCACCATTTTCTCTGAGGTCTGAGGAAGAAGTGGAAGGTTCGAAACGCATTAACACCCACTCCTACGCCATCATGCTCTCCCGCTGACATCATGGCTGGCCTAGCGCCATTTGTATTCCACGCTGGTTCTCGTGACAGATGGCTGCTTCCTGATGTTGAGGAACACTGCTGAGCCTTGCTGTGACTACTCCAGGGACTGGGACTGTAACGGAACCGACCCAGACTGCGCTTGAGTACTTCCGTTAAACTACCGCTTCCCTGTCTGAGCACCGACAACAGACACCACAGCCGACCATACAAGACTAGACGACACCAGTCTTGAAGTAATCCAAAGTTTAAACTACTCTATTTGAACACAGATACAAGATCTATACACTCAGGGGACAGCCCCCCCTCCTGGCATAATGACACAGGGTGGGCAATCTACATTTAGTAACAAGAGACACACAGGTATTCAAACTTCACACCAGCAGACAGTCCCTTCAGGAGGGAGGGCTGCTGGATACACCCCCCCACTAAGCTAGTACACATAAACACATACCGTATTTTTTTGCTCCATAAGACGCACTTTTTTCCCCCAAAAAAAGGGGGGAAAATGTCAGTGCGTCTTATGGAGCGAATATAAAGCGGCCGGTCCGGTATTTTTGCGGCCACCATGTCAGAATACCAGGCCGGCCGCTCAGCTGTTGTCTCCTGCAGGGGCCTTACCTGTTCCTCGCTCCAGCGCTGCACAGTCTTCCCGCGCTGGCTTCTGTGACAGCCGGGTGCCCACTGCGCATGTGCTGCGCTTTGTGAATGATCCGGTGTCTTCTGGGACACATGAAAGGTCCCAGAAGGCGCCGGGCCATTCACAAAGCGAGCGCTTCTCGCACATGCGCAGTGGGCACCCGGCTGTCACAGAAGCCGGCCCGGGAAGAAGAGGGAAGGACAACTCCGCGGAAGTGGGAGCGGGTACCTGTCAAATTCAGGTACCCGCTCCCCCTCCCTCCCCAAAGGTCAGCAGTCTCTGGTCATTCCCTTCACTGTCTGCAGTCTCTGGTCATTCCCTTCACTGTCTGCAGTCTCTGGTCATTCCCTGCACTGTCTGCAGTCTCTGGTCATCCCTGCACTGTCTGCAGTCTCTGGTCATCCCCTGTACTGTCTGCAGTCTCTGGTCATTCCCTGCACTGTCTGCAGTCTCTGGTCATTCCCTGTACTGTCCGCAGTCTCTGGTCATCCCTGCACTGTGTCAGCAGTCTCTGGTCATCCCCTGCACTGTGTCCGCAGTCTCTGGTCGTCTCCTGCACTGTGTCCGCAGTCTCTGGTCGTCTCCTGCACTGTGTCCGCAGTCTCTGGTCGTCTCCTGCACTGTGTCCGCAGTCTCTGGTCGTCTCCTGCACTGTGTCCGCAGTCTCTGGTCGTCTCCTGCACTGTGTCCGCAGTCTCTGGTCATCTCCTACACTGTGTCCGCAGTCTCTGGTCATCTCCTGCACTGTGTCCGCAGTCTCTGGTCATCTCCTGCACTGTGTCCGCAGTCTCTGGTCATCTCCTGTACTATGTCTGCAGTCTCTGGTTATCTGTACTATGTCCGCAGTCTCTGGTCATCTCCTCTACTATGTCTGCAGTCTCTGGTCATCTCCTGTACTGTGTCCGCAGTCTCTGGTCATCCCCTGTACTGTGTCTGCAGTCTCTGGTCATCTCCTGTACTGTGTCTGCAGTCCATTGGTTCAGAATATTTTTTTTTCTTGTTTTTCACCTCTAAAACCTAGGTGCGTCTTATGGTCAGGTGCGTCTTATGGAGCGAAAAATACGGTACATCCCATAATAGTTTGCTCCCAAGAAAGACACATAATAGAACAATGGGATGCAACCACATGACATTAAACAATCAACAACCCCCCACACAATATTAGGACAGATCACTCTGTACCCCTAACATAATATGGGGAGCTGAGACAGGGGTCTCCCCACCTCTCCAAAGTGAGCTGGGTTCCATGGGCCCCCCACCCCAAAGTGACTCCCATCACAGGGACCATATGGGAGATCTGGGGAGATCTTCATAGGATGTACAGATATGCTTGGGACTTTCATCTTTTAGTGTGTTGTCAATTTTATGTGTCAAATAAATTGTGAATGCCTAAATGCTGCACATAGTTAGGTGTCCCTCTGTCTCTCTCTTTTCAATATTACAGGCTGGGTTCGGTCCACAAACAGTTTGCAAATCCTTTTCGAAGTTCAGAATTTGTGTACTTTGCTGAAAACCCCAATAAAATCTATGGAATGTGAATCTTGTTTTTTTTTTGTTATTGACCAGCTATACAGCTAATATGCAAGCTATTGTCAAACAAAAGGCACAGAAAGACAAACATTGCCATGGAGAAAATGCACCAATGGCAAAATAAAAAATGATATATCGGTATATACTGTGTGTGTGTGTGTATATATATATCTATATAAATAAATGTAAAAAAATGAAAACACACTGAAAAGTATGGCTGCTGTAAGCCCACCCTTTGATAGAAATGTGGCTGGGTTAACTTCAATTTATCCATGATCTATTTATTTAAATGTATTGGCTCTTAAGACGTAGGTGATCTGGGCTAAGGCTATGCACTACTTTACAGGCTGTATCATATTTATGATGATGAACCTGCAAATCTTATTTCCCAAAGTTTGTGATTCACAAGCTTCACAAATCCTGGAGATGTGCCATGGCACTGGCAAACCCGAACCTCAGCCCTGGTGTACAGTAGGCTTTCCCATGACAAGGCATGGCCAACAGATGCCTGTGCTTACCTCTCTCTCCCAACTGCACATACTAAGGCGGGCCAAGCTTTACCTTCACGTTTAGGAATGATGCACTACTAGAAGATCGTGGTCAGATAATGCCTACATTCCTGGCCTAGGTGCATTTTTATACATAGACAGAATTCACATTAACAAAATATATTGCCATTAGTTTAGATCAGTAATATATTGTCATGGCCCCAAAATTTTCTACCTGCAGATGAAAAAAAAAAAAAAAGTATTATCTGTTTTAGATAATAAAAAGGTTATGCATTTCTATTTTAGTATAATTTTACTGATTGTTAAAAAGCAGCGAGAAAATGAACACGTCTTTTAAAAAACTGCTAATGGGTTTGTACATTGATTTTACTCATTTATAGACAGCAATATTAGCCTATAAAAGAAGTGAGCAGGACGGTGTTTTCCAACTACTGTACATAATAGGAGAAAATAAATAATGTGAATGTAACAAGAGAAATCACCAGTTATGGAAAACGATGGAGACTTGTTTAGCTTACAAGCTCATAAAGATAAGGTAGATGGGCATTTTATGGTTTCATCAAACACCTCTTCTGAAGATTACTGCACACAGTATGTGAATTGTAAGCAAATCTTGCCAGCAGTCTCAAGAACTGTCTCCTTTACATATTATACAGTTTTGCGCTACTAAAGTAGTTGTTTTGCTCCTCCAAAGCTGTTTTATATTCGCAAATAAAACCTCAGTGAAGCTGTGAATTTCACTGTTAGCTGCCCTTTTATATTATAGCTGCAGGGCCATGACTTTACGTCCGGATGCACCAATCCTCTCTAAGACACTGGCCTCAAAACTGAGCACTGGGCTTAATAGCCGTTGAGTGCTCATCGATGCCTGGGGCGAACACAAAATATTAGGATAGCTGGTTCGTCTGTCCACGTCTCCTAAATGCTTCTCTTATGTGGGCCCCCACCTTAAGGGAGTGCTACAGTAAGCCATTTTGTACACCTGCAGCAGCCCTACGAAATCTATGTTTTAACGAAGATTAAAAAAGACATTGTTTTGCTGAAGTTTAAAATTCAGTTCCCAGTTACATTAATTGTGGATCTGTATCCTTTTTATGTAATTGGACGATGGAGTAGTTGAAGGTTAACACACTTTTGATAATGTGCACTGTTATGCAGGGCTGTTCCTATTTACTGTGCTGTATTAGACAATCCTGACCAGCTGCCCTCTTCTCCTGGCACTATAACTCACCCCCATTGTAATCTTGATTCATCCAGCTAATATGTTGCTGGGGACCATTCCAAGTACTCATCCCTCTGTTGTGGGATCATAACGGGAGCAAGTAGCTAGGCTGTCAGGAAGCAACGCACCTGAAAAAAATAAATACCCTAGTACTTCATGGTAGGAAGAGCCCTGCTAGTAGGAAACAAAAGCTCTATGATGAAAACAATGTACAATGAAAACATGCTTGAAAAGGCTGTGCAGTCTCTTCAAGGTTTGCATGTGGACTAAGTTCACACCAGAGTCTAAGGTTTTTTCTTATGATGATTTACATTTGCTCAACGGTCACTGTCAATGTGTTCTGCTTCTAGCAGAAATTTTTTTTTTAACATGAACTCTGTTTTTCTAGATCCACTGAGCACTCAAACCACCAAAATACCCCAGCATGCTGAAAGATTGTAGACAACTACTCAGATTCTGCCACTTCCAAATCAATCACATTGCCCAACTGTCTAATTATATTGCACCTAAACAGCCTTTCCCAACCTATTTACGCCAGAAGAACCCTTGGAATAATTTGCAGGTCTGAGGGAACCCTGGCTAAAACGAATTAACTGGAGGTCAGTGGTAAAATGTATACAAAGGAGCACCTGAGACAAAATTTCATCTTGAATATGTGAAATTACTTTTTGAAACATTTCATGGATAAGAGCATCAAATACAGCCAATACATTTTGGGGAAAACGACTCCTTCTTGTCCAGGCTTGAGTAGTCAATGGTTACAGAGAAGCATGTTTTTTTTTTTTTTTTTTTTAATTGTACTTACCTAGGTGGATGCAGCATTGATCCAATGCTGTATCTGTCCCCACTGCTTCTAAGACTGAGAAGTGAATGATCAAAGACCACTGATCGCTCAGTTCTCAGGCCTTAAGTGAGCAGAGACCGGTGACTGTAAGTCAATGGCTCTCTGTTCTGCACCTCCAGCGCTCACTGGAGAGCTGGGCTGCTGAGCAAGGGAAGGGAGCAGCTTTTTCAGCCTCTCAGTGGCACGCTGAGAGGCTGTGCCAGCTGCCGGTCTAGACATCTGGGTGGATACCGACTGTAAAGACGAGATTGATTCAGAGCCTGCACTGGCTTAATGATTTCAGCCTGACAGTGGGTTTTAGCCTGCTGTTGGCTGAAAACGGGTCACAAGAGTGCAGAAAGAACTGTACTCCTGTGATCCATAAAACCAAGTAGGGAAAAAAAAAGTTTGGCTATAGTTCTTTAATAAAATCACAACTGATTGCACTAGGGGATCTGTACTGAGGCCTCATGAAGGCTAAAGGCATTAGTCTTACACCCATCTCCAGTGCAATCTGTCATGATTTTATTAACATCAAATACAGTGCGCTATACCCACTTAAACTTTATAAGATGGGCTTACTGACAGACCCCCTTTGCCCTAGGTGTCAAAGGGGCCATGGGGACCTTATCCATATGTTGTGGCACTGTCCCAAGCTCCACAGGTACTGGGACAGTGTCCTAGGCATAATTAATCAGGCTTATCAGCTATCTTTGCACCCTTTGTCCTGCATAATGGGCATTCTGGACCCGGTGATTCCTAATGCTTTTGTTAAAGAGGCAGTGTCTAGAGCCTTATTTCAGGCTCACAAAGTGCTCTTATTGCACCATAAGAGCCCTTCATCCTATCTACTCAGGATATATAAATACCAGTCTGCGCTACGAAAAACATATATACCAACACTGGGGACGCCTGGCTAAATTTGACAAAATATGGACTGGTTCTCTGTTGGCACCTGGCCTAGCACCAGTGGTGCTAGTGTTACCAAGTCTGTTAGGCTATGGTTGGACCCCTTAAGTGTATGGATTTCTCCCTAAGATGGATCAGACTTGCATTTGCCCCTGGGTATTACTTTTATTGGTATGATGATCTCCCCTCGCCTTGTCTGTTAGCCAGTGGGGGGTGCAGATCCTGAAGTAACACTTGTTTTTCATTATGTACTTTAAAGACTGTACGTCTACATGCCGGCTGTTCTTTTTGCTGTTATTGTGACACAGATACTCTAGAACATGTTTTTTTTGTTTTGTTCAATAAACTTTTTTCCTGATTAAAAAAAAATACTCCTGAAGAAGGGGGGAGAGCTGTATTTGATGTTCATATTTTTAAGGTTCCCTGAAAATGTTGGCTGTATTTGATGTTCATATCCATTAAATGTTTTGAAAGGTTCCTTCTAGTGAAATAAACTTTTGTACTAGACTCTCCTCCATACACATCCAAGAATTTACTGTCTGGTGAGTGCTTCCTTTGTCACGATCAGTGTAGCCTAAGACCAGAACAGGGTCCACTTATAGTTTATTTCAGAAACATATGCTTCTTTGAAGGAAATATCACATTATGGTAGGTCCATCGGTACCAGTTTTAATTTCTGTTAGTCCAGCATTATCACACATACCTCAGAGGTCCCTTACAATTGCCACCCTTACTGACAGCTAAAAAGATAATTGGTGTCATAT